GTCATTGTCTAATAAAATGTTAATGATAAGTGTCAAATTTTGTGTGTAAAATCGAAAGTCCGAAAGTAAAATTGTTCTGTCAACCAGCGAAAAAATCGTTCCTCTTTTTTGTGCAATGGGGTGGTTAGAATAAAAATTCAAAAACCTCCCTGAAAAGGTCGGCTTACGGTACCAATCAACTCCAAACCCGTTTCCAATGATCGATATAGTCACATCCAGGAAATTAATTTCATCACCCCCAAATTCAGAAGTGAATTGTAATCGTGGATGGAACGAGTTAAATTGTTCTACTATTGAGTCAATTCTTGATGGTTCAACCGCAGTACAAATATCATCCACGTATCTAAAATAAAATATTGCGTCCAAGTTCAACGACATCAAGGACACCGTCTCAAGTCTCCTCATCACCAAGTCCGCTATTACAGGTGATAAGGGGGACCCCATAGGAGTGCCGTAACTCTGTTTATAAAAATTGTTGTTAAACGAAAAAAATGTAGAATCAAGAATGAACCTTATTGCCCCCACAAACTCCTCCCTAGGTAGAGGACAGTCTCCGGCAACATACGTCCAATGTTCATTGATGCAGTCTATGGCTATATCCACCGGAACATTCGTGAACAGAGATTTTACGTCCAGTGAGATTAATTTATATTGGTCTGTAGTGTGTAATCTTTTTAGTTTCTCAACAAGTTCGAAACTATTTTTTATATGACTCTTTGCTTTAGGAATGGATTTAATTAACATATTGTGTAAGAATGTCGCCAGTGGATAGAGCGGACTGCCCAACGAAGAGACAATGACCCTCAAAGGGCAACAAGGTTTATGTATTTTACTATAAAATACTATAAAAATTATTATCAAAATTTTACTATAAAAATACATAAAGCTTGTTGCCCTTTGAGGGTCATTGTCTCTTCGTTGGGCAGTCCGCTTTATCCACTGGCGACATTCTTACACAATATGTTAATTAAATCCATTCCTAAAGCAAAGAGTCATATAAAAAATAGTTTCGAACTTGTTGAGAAACTAAAAAGATTACACACTACAGACCAATATAAATTAATCTCACTGGACGTAAAATCTCTGTTCACGAATGTTCCGGTGGATATAGCCATAGACTGCATCAATGAACATTGGACGTATGTTGCCGGAGACTGTCCTCTACCTAGGGAGGAGTTTGTGGGGGCAATAAGGTTCATTCTTGATTCTACATTTTTTTCGTTTAACAACAATTTTTATAAACAGAGTTACGGCACTCCTATGGGGTCCCCCTTATCACCTGTAATAGCGGACTTGGTGATGAGGAGACTTGAGACGGTGTCCTTGATGTCGTTGAACTTGGACACAATATTTTATTTTAGATACGTGGATGATATTTGTACTGCGGTTGAACCATCAAGAATTGACTCAATAGTAGAACAATTTAACTCGTTCCATCCACGATTACAATTCACTTCTGAATTTGGGGGGGATGAAATTAATTTCCTGGATGTGACTATATCGATCATTGGAAACGGGTTTGGAGTTGATTGGTACCGTAAGCCGACCTTTTCAGGGAGGTTTTTGAATTTTTATTCTAACCACCCCATTGCACAAAAAAGAGGAACGATTTTTTCGCTGGTTGACAGAACAATTTTACTTTCGGACTTTCGATTTTACACACAAAATTTGACACTTATCATTAACATTTTATTAGATAATGACTACCCATTATCATTTATATTTGACACAATCAACCTACGAATTAAAAACTTGAATAGAAATAGACACATAACACAGAACAGTATGAATGACAATTATTCGGATTATGCGAATACTTGCGACAATTGAATTTGTTCTGTTACTTTTTATTATACTAATGTCTGAAGAGGGCTCAAACTGGTAGCCGAAACTTGTTACTTGTAATGTATTAGTTTATAGTTTTATTTTTTTGGCGTGATGTTTCATCGCGTTTAATACAATATATAATTTTATGTAAAAATTAAAAAATGTGGTTGACTCTTACTTCGCCCGTTGATTGAGTTTTGTTATTACGCCTGAATAATTTGTACGTGTTCTTTCACCGTATACTTTCCCATGATTAATTTCCCATCTGTCTAGATGACATATGTGAAGTTTGAGATTAATCGGTTTGACGTTTTAAAAATAGCGCGAAATTCAAATCGACCGGTGATGAATGGGACACCCTGTACTAGTAAACTCATTTCTAGGCTGTGTTCCAAAATTCTTTGCCAGCATTGGCAGCACTGTCGACACCGTTCCAAAAATCATCGTAATACGCTGTGGCAGTGCTGCGAAAGAATAAAGGTCGTGTTCCAATTTTATTGTCAGCACTGAAAATGCTACAATCTATGTTACGTACACTATGATTATGGCAGTCAATTTTGAAACACAGCCAAAGACGTCACTAATTTTATCATCATTTCTTGTTGCAGCTGAAGAGATGAGGCAACTACAGCATCTAAGATGGTGAGTATTTCCAATTTGAAATGCGTATTCGCACTAATTGCATGCTTACTAAAATTGAACGCTGTTGGTAGCATGTTTTTATGACAATGTACTTGCAGCGTTGGCAATCAGTTTTTGAACACAGCAAATAAGAAATCTATTCCGTCGTTCCAATTCCGTGTACATTGGTTTTCGATTGCTACATGTTTTCAATTATAAAGTTACTAATTCCAGTAGCATTTTATATTGTTCAGGCCAGAGTTGAGTGTAAGCAAAAAATTCTTTATGATCAGTTAATCTAATTTCGCAAAACAGGTTAAATAGGAAACCCCATCTTTTATTAATTAGACTGATTCAGCAACGTCTAATTTTTACTTTTTGTGCTTGCAAAACAATCATTTGAAGCGCAATACTTTGATTTAATAATAAAATAAAAAGTGTTAGGGTGCATTTTTATGTTGACGCTTGACGCTCGATTCGAGCGTTAAAATAGGCCATGCGATCAAAATTGGCGAATATCAAGCATCAATTTTGATCACGATCTGTTTTAACGTTCAAATCGAGCGTCGAGCGTCAGTATAAGAATACAGCCCTATGAGGCTTTTACTTCTTCAAATCCATCTTTAAACTTATGGTGAATTCGATTCGACTTACACTACACTGGATCAGTGCATATCAAAAGCTGTTTATATGAACTATTTCAATGCAATGATATAATCAACTTTGAGAATGAAATGATATATATATATTTTGTTAAATAATGTGACAATATCATTAGTAGATAGTCGTTTAAATATTTCTATACTTTTATAACGTTTTCCATTGGGAAAACTGATGCAACACTGGTGCGCACTGAGTGCAATTGTGTTGTTCCACTGTGAAAACTAGAGAAAATTCAGTGTTTAATATTCCATTGATAAAACTGGTGCAAAAACTTGCACTGAGTTCAACTTTTGTTCCACTGTCTTCGAAGTCAGTGAAGATCAGTGTAAGTTGAAATTGAGGTTGTGTTCGTGCTAAGGTATGATATTATGTTATGATATGATATTACATTATTATATAATTAATGTTATAGTATAACAATGGCCTAGTTTTCACCGAGGGTTTAATCCGGATTAAACTACGTCGAGCATTCCTCTGTCGTTTGACTGTAATGGCTCCTGCACACTAGACGCGGAAACACTTGCCGCGCGGCAAAATGACGTGGTATTTAATGAACACATTAGGAACTATAAGCTTTTTGGCTACCGCATCACATTTTGCCGCGCGGCAAGCGTTTCGACGTCCAGTGTGTAGAAGCCATAGCAGAGGAAACTCGACTGTATGGTAGTTGGTTGGTTCTTACATTCTGATTCGGTTTAAATCTTTGATGGAAACTTGGCCAATGACATTGTTTAGTTTCAAAGGTTTTAATAATAGCTATGCAATGACATTCAAAACTCTTGAAATGTTAAAATTTAATTTAAAAAAATGTTTTAAGTAAATAAATGAATTAGAATATTGTAAAATAAGTTATATAATTTAAGTTTTAACGTAGCTATATATATTTTTTAGAGATGTTATAAAATGGATATCTCTAATGATATGTTCCATTGAATCGCACTAACCTGAGTATCAATCATGAAACTTTATTCCTAGGATGGAAAGTAAAAAATGAAAAATTTTTCTATTAACTTTAATGGTTAAAATTTTTACTTGTTTGATAGAAAACCAACCAATTACAATTAAATATAAGGAGAATACTCGATTAGAATTGATCAGTTTCCTACGACTCTACGATCGTCTACGACTTCTATGTAGAGGATCCTTTAAGCCGGTTCTACATTATACTGGTTCTACACTAATTGCAAGCTGATCGCAAAGTTTGTTGCGACAGTTAATCTGAAGCTTGCATTTTGAAATCAACGCTTCATAAGTTAATGTAGAATGGCTTTAGGATGCAAACCCATGCAGCGAAATAGCGGAACGCGAGAGCAGAACCAATCACGAGCGTTCCGCAGTTTTCGTTATGCGGATTCGAATCCCTTCATCTCCATAGAGCGCAATGAGCGTAAGCGGAATCAACAGCAAGTTTATAAATGAAAGTTTAAATATTGTGTTTGTCATTTATTTTTTATTATCATGTATCTAAGAACAGAATTAAATGCATTTCTCATTGAAAATAATGATTAAAAATGTTAAAATTTATGAAATGCTGCATGGGTTTGCCTTAGGACCATTTCACACGAATTTGCTGCATAACCATATGCAAGAAATGTAAAGAAAATTATCCAATCACATTTCTGTCATAAAGACAAACGTAAAATATGATTGGCTGATTTTCTTTATGCATATGTTTATGCGGCTATGCAAGTTGTGTGGAATGGTCCTTACGGAATTGCCAACATCAGGGGAAAAAATAAGCTAAGCTAACTCGATTCGGAATTTTGGAATAGACTCTACTTATCTCGTTGGTGTACATAAAAATTTTCACTTTTCATGTTTCCACTCTAGGGAAGAAGTTACATGATCGATACTGAGGTTTCTCTCTGATTTGAGCGGTTTGTAAATATGTCTATTTTTACAAGCTTTACAACTCATTTGAATAATCAGCTACGATCAGTGAAAGAGAAATAATAAAAGAAGACAGGGTGATTGAGAATTAAAACATGCCTTCTCTCGTAGCAAGTGACTAGAATCAATGTAAACAGCAAGATGATTGGTTTAGAAAGCATAAAGCAGTCTTGACTGTAGTAGAACTCGAGCCGGTATTTCGTCTCGCTTCTCCGATCAATTTTATTGTGAACCGCATCATGTAGAACGTCATTTAGCCCTTTTTTTTGCTATGGCCGCGGACCTAAATGTGTAGTGTTATATTTTTCGTTTGTTGTCACAGTGAATGCGAGGGACACCATGGGCGATCCAAATCGCTCGATCGTCTTCCTTCGTGCTCATTTGTCCGGAATAAATGTCTGATACGTACGTGCACGTCAGCTTCCATATATAAATAAGTATGAATAAGTAACGCGGTGGCCGTACGCTGGGATCAAGGCAGGCGAAGACGATCAGACTTTACCCAATTTTCTCTAGTAACGCACGATCTCGTAAAATATTGTAGCGATGAAAATATCAAAGTCCACTATTGTTCTCCTGGTCCTGATGCTGATATTCTCCATCTTGATGGCGAATATAGCTGATTTGATCAGCATCAATCCTCATTTTCCAGATGAAACCTTGGGAGACAATAACGGAGAGATACAATGGATCGAACCAAAGTATTATAACATAGCAAATTCATATAATCACTTAATATGGTTCCTACAGGTTTGTTAATGCATTATTTAGAAGTGTTCTGCAAGTTGCAGTTGTATTCTATGGAGATATATCATGATAGCTTTTTATCTCTTTAGATAACCGATATACATATAAGTATCTTTAGGGATCCATCTAGACTATCAGAGTTCAAGGAATTCTGTAATATGACAGTAAATGCTATTCAGCCTAGAGTTGTTCTTGCTTCTGGTAACTTATATTTTACAGATACAAGAGATATAATGTTTACATACTTGTGTTAATAAGAGAAGTTGATTTAATAAAATATTTCATGCTTATATTTTTTAATAGGAGATTTGACTGATGCCATAGTTAAAGATGGATTTGGTTCTAAACAAGAACACCGAGAATGGCAACATTATAGATACATAATAGATCAGACTAATGTCAGCAAGAAAGTTTTATGGTTAGATGTCAGAGGAAATCATGGTAAGAATAGTACATTCTAATTGCACATCTGTAAATTCATGTGTAGCAAAGAAAATTATATATTCTAAACATGTTAATATATTTTCAGACAACTTCGACATCATCAATTTTGATTCCAAAAATAACTATTATTTATACTACTCTATTCAAGGAAAGAAACATCCTAGATCTTACATGTACAATATTGATACTGGTCTTGAAACATACTCCTTTATTGCAATTGACGCTTGCTTGAAACCAGGTCCTAAGAGACCATTTAATTTCATTGGTATTTTAGATCAAGATGAGATTAATAGGATACAACAGTTAATTAATCGATCAAAAGAAAGCAATGCTGCTCATGCGGTTGTGTTTGGGCATTACCCTACATCCAGCATAATATCACAAGCTGATACAAATATCAGAAATATTTTAGGTAATATGCTTATATTTTAGGTTATAGAAATATACTATATCTCTTTTTTTATGAAACTATTAGTGTTATAATTTTGTGTGTTATAATTTATTGTATATATATATTAAAGGTAGTCACAAAGAAAGCATGGTGTATCTGTGTGGTCACTTCCATACGCTTGGCAATATGGTACCCAACATGTACTCTTTACAAAAGGCGGGTTTCCTTGAGCTAGAATTAGCAGATTGGAAAGACAATAGAATGTAAGACGAATATACTTTGAAGTATTTAAAAATGACAGTTGTTTATATATAATTGCATTCATTGATTTTGTTTTCTATAATGAATACATATATAATGAATTACACTAGTATTTAAATATTAGTTGTCAAAAGAATATTTTCGTGCACAGATTATGAAGGTAGATATTCTTGGATATGGCCTAGAAAAATATAATTTTTTGTTATTGCAGCAATTAGTGGTATACAAACAAAATTGTACTTCTAAAATTCATTTAAAACTAATAATGAAACATTATTTCGCTATTCATCATATAAATATTCTTACTATATTAGTATATATGTTCTTTATTATTTTTTTAAGTATAACCGCGCGCGCGCGCGCGCACACACACACACACACACACACACACAGTGGGACATTTTAATCACCCCAGGCGAATATCTCACAGCTAACAGAGATACAAGAAAAAGTTTTATATGGAAATTGAAGGTTTTCTTGAGGGAAAGAAGATGGAAATAACGGATTTTGGATAAGGGACACTACCAAGATCAGGTCAAGGTCAACATAAATTTGTTTAATGGAATCCTTTATTTTTTATTGCATATTCTTGTAGCACATCTCGAGAGCTTTCCAAAACACTGTAATAAAATACTTTTTTATTAAATACTTTTCGAGTTATAGGGCTCGAAAGTTATAGTACTGCCGACATTAACATTACACAAGGTGTCCGATGGCTAAAATCTCTTGAATGTTCCGAATTATGTCTTAGATAATATTTATTAAGATCAAGATCATTGGAGATTGTTTCTCTTACTTTCATTTTTGCACTGAAAAATTTTTACGTAAAAATGAAAATATGAGATATAATCATCAATGGCCTTGATCTTGATAAATGTTATCCAAGTCATAATCCTAAACATTCATGAGATTTTTAGCCGATCGGATGCCTTGGGTAATGCTAATGCCGGCGGTACTGTTTCGAGCCCTATAACTCAAAAAATACTTAACGAAAAAATATTGTGTGGTACAAGAATATGCAATAAAAAATGGAGGATTTCATTAAAAAAATTCATGTTGACCTTGACCTGATCTTGGTAGTGCCCTCTATTTAAAATCCGTTATTTCTACCTTTTATCTCCCAAGAAAACTTACAACTTTTATATAAAACTTTTTCTTGGCTGTCTTAGTTTTTGAGATATTCGCCTGAGCGATTAAAATGCCTCACCATATATAATATTTTATCAAAATATTTATCTCAATCAGTGTTTCTAATTTAGTTTACAAATGTTAGATCTGACACACACCTCTTACTAGGTATCGCCTAGCCGCAATAGATCATGGCCAATTTTCATTTATTGATGTAAAACACAATGATTGGCCTGTAATATTAATCACCAATCCAAAAAACGTGCTATTTATGATACCACAAAAAGAAAATTTGGAATCTGTTATCAAATCCACGCACGTCAGGTAAGCTTTTTTTTTATCGATGCTCTCGTAAGTTTTCTTATTTATGAAATTATTTAGTTTATAAAATTCAACTTATAAGCTGTTTGTTCTAGAATACTAGCATTTTCTACGGTTCCGTTAAAAACTGTAGAAATTCAATTAGATAATGATGTTTGGCAAAAATGTGGTCATGTAAATGGACCTCTTTATGTATTGCCATGGAACTCGACGAGATACAAGGAGGGTATTCATCAAATAACAGTTTAGTAAATATTTTTTAAATTACTTATGAAAAATTAATATACTAGCAATTAGTTAAAAAAAAAATATATACGAGGTCTGACTATTAAATAACGAGACTGCGCGCGCAGAAGGCGTCCTAGAGGGGTAGGGTGGGAAACGAATGCAGCGTTGGATAGCTGGAAGTGTCTACTATTCCAGTACGAAAACACGTTTTTGTCGCAGTAGTAGTATTTTTTCTATAGAGGTTAGAAACGAACTTGGTTTTTTCTCGTGCCGATAACAATGTGTGACGAAAAACACGAGCAACGGATCAATGTGAAATTTCTCGTTAAATTAAAAAAAACTCCGACTGAGTGCTATAAGTTGTTGAAAGAGGCCTATGGTGAGAATTCTCTATCTCGTGCGCGTGTTTTCGAATGGTATAAACGGTTTTCTGAAGGCCGAGAGAGCACCGAAGATGACCAACGT